GGCTGGTGCATGTGGCCGAGCAGGTCGTGTGTGCGGTCCGCAAGCTCCCCCCTAGGAGGCTAGGAGAGCCCTGTGCACCCCCGCTGTCCCACAGCTTTTTCTTACGGTGCTGCCACCCTTGCAGTGAGGAGGTATATTCATGTAAATGGGCGGACGGGGAGCTTCAGGTCTAACACTTGGCAGGCGTCTTTTAGGGCCGTATCAAGACAAAACCTGAGAAATGCTGAAAGCTTTTTATTGTAAAACCCATCAGGACTAGGAACAAAGTCCTGTGCAGCTGAAGCAACTACACCGCTCCACTGTTAGTGTTTGCTAGCAGTGGGACGGCTATCTCAATTTCAGTTGTCTGGTTGCTTTTTCATTCTAGGTTAGCAGTTGTATTACAAGCAATAGGTGCTGAACAGCAGTGATAAAGCAGAAGAGTAGGGACAAACAGAGTTGGGTACCCCTAAAACGGTTGTATTTGCTGTTAACTTTCAGTCTTTTCAGGCTCTTCCTTCAGGAGAAGGGGAGGCAATAAGACACAATGATAAGAACGAGTTGGTGGAATCATGTCTTAAGCTAACTAGCAAAAATATTCATGTTAGATGTCCTCAGAGTGCTAAGCTGCTACTGTCTGTGAGATGGTTTTGAAATGAGACTTTTATTTTTTGTTTCCTTTTAGTTTAGGATTACATGAATTGTGTGGGCCTGCACCCACAAATGAGATCAGAAATGTACTTCTCAAGATTTGCATAACAGTTTGGACAAAATTAAACATTCTCTCAAGTGAGAATTGGACACGTTTAAAATAAAGAGAAGTCCTGGCATGGCAACTCAGCTAAAGCTGAATTCAGAGATGTCTGTATAATAATCACAGAATCACAGAATCGTTTAGGTTGGAAGGGACCTCTGGAGATCATCTAGTCCAACCCCCCTGCTCAGCCAGCGTCCTCTAGAGCATATTGCCCAGGATCACATCCAGGCGGGTTTTGAACATCTCCAGCGAAGGAGACTCCACCACCTCTCTGGGCAACCTGTTCCAATGCTCTGTCACCCTCACAGTCAAGAAGTTTTTCCTCAGGTTCAGGTGGAACTGCCGGTGGTTCAGTTTCTGCCCGGTGCCCCTTGTCCTGTTGCTGGGCACCACGGAGAAGAGGCTGGCCTCATCCTCTCGACGCTCCCCCTTCAGATACTTGTACACGTTGATGAGATGGCCTCTCAGTCTTCTCTTCTCCAGGCTGAACAGGCCCAGCTCTCGCAGCCTTTCTTCACAGCAGAGACGCTCCAGTCCCCTCATCATCTTTGTAGCCCTCTGCTGGACTCTCTCCAGTAGCACCATGTCTCTCTTGTATTGCGGAGCCCAGAATTGGACACTGCACTCCAGGTGAGGCCTCCCCAGGGCTGAGGAGAGGGGCAGGATCACCTCCCTCCACCTGCTGGCAACACTCTGCCTCTTGCACCCCAGCATACCATTGGCCTTCTTGGCCACAAGGGCACACTGCTGGCTCATGCTTAACTTGTTGTCCACCAGCACTCCCAGGTCCCTCTCTGTAGAGCTACTTTCCAGCAGGTATAATAATTGTATATTGTAGTATGCCTTCTTGTTACATTTCCTTGGCAGAAGGAGATTGCATCCTGGAGTGGTCTCCAACAACATTTTTGGTCTGGACAAAAGTTGAAATATATGTTGCCTATGACAGCTAGTCAGCTTTTCTGTTTTCAGTGAATTTTCGTCAAAACAGAGTTCTGGTTTCCCTGAACACCAGAGCTCAATGGATTTTGCCTTGTTTGCACCGTAAGGCCAATATTCAAATTCTAATTTGTTCTTTCATTTTTCAAGGAAGAACAGAGTTAAGCTGCAGTAATTATCAAAGCCAGTCTCGGGCAATTATCATGTTGCAGGAAAGTAACTTATTTTATAGCTCCCCAGCAAAATGTACTTAGGGTTGGAACACAAGCTTCCCAAAGTACCGCGTTCTGTCTTCAGTTATATGGCGTAGAGGGAAGAGGCTAAGATCTTCCTAGTCTACGACAGTTCCGTTAGCTTAGCTACAGTGATATAATGAAGAAAAATACCCATGTGTAGATGTGCTATATCAGTGTAAAAAGTGTAGACTGCAGTAGTTGCGCAACTGCACTGCGTTTTAAAGTTTGTTTTGTACACCTTCTATCAAAAGGTGTAATTCTGTGTTCCTCCTGCTGTGCTTGTGCCTGATGCTTGTGAGGCTGCAGTGGAAGCTAGACTGGGGACCTTCCCCAGCTGAAAATGAATCCAGCCCAAAGATCCTGGTGGGAAAGGAATGTAGTCCCTAATCGGGCACTTTGTGTGAGTGGCTGAGTGTTTGGGCCAACACACCAGAAGTGGTATTAGACTTAAATTAGGATCAGGCTTCTGTTATCTTAATACCCATTATTACTTCTCCTCAATTCGGTGCTGATTAGATTCAAGTTAGAACAATTACAGACCTGGCTCTGAGTGATGCTGACCAGAACAGTGCTTTGCACTGGTGACTTAGCCTCTCTCAAGGGAGCTGACAATGATCTGCTCTGTTGTGTTCTTATTCCTTGCCCATCCTATAGCTGCTTTTGCCACCTCAAAGTACTGTTCTACCCCCCAAGGCTAGGGTTGGAGCTGTCTGTGCATTGCCAGTTAGAAGTGGGCTGCCTATGGAGAGTTGCTGCTCAAGAACTCATTTGACTGGTTGAGGAGCATTGGTGGGGCATGCTGCCCTCTTGCCATAACTGTTAAGTACTAATCAGAGTTGCTGCAGTGCTGGGGGAACTTCTTAGCATTTGTTTTAGGTCAGCTTCACTACTTTAGCAGACCAAACTGTCGCTGTAATGTTAGCAGTATTTAAAATCAGGCTGTGTCAACATATATAAAGCAAGCAAGTATTAATGTACTAGGATAACCTAATGTGGAGCTGCGCTACCTCCCAAAATTGTGAACTGTTGATGTTTTCTGTGCCTGTCGGGGACCTCTGTGAACTTTCTGCTAACTTGGCTTTGTTCTCGTTCACGAGGAGTTTGTATTCTGGAAAAGGTCTTTCACTTTCGTCTCCTGGGAGAAGCTTTCAATAGTTGTTGATGTTTGTGAATGGATACTTGGAGGTCTTGTCCTCATATGAGGAAGAAAAGGTGCTTTTTTCAGTGGGTAGTGTCCCTCAAAGTGTAGTTCCTAAAAGCTGACCTGTTGTTTGGTAACGAATTAGTGTAGTAGTAAGATGTTAGGTCTTGCTCCAGACTTTTCTTCTGTGTGATGTCGGATAGCAATCCTCTGACTTCTTGTTATTTTAAAAATTAACATTAACTTCTACATTTAAACTTCTTGTATAGTTTTAGTGAGAAATGACTGAGTTGTGAAGTGGCTGGATATTTTAAATAAACTTTTGGATCATTTCTGCCTTGAGCAGGGGCTGGCTTCACGCTATTTTGATTTAGAAGAATGCAGCTGGCAAAGTGCCTTGAATAGTCCGATTATTGATAAAGGGCACGATCCTTTTCAGTTTGATCTAAAAATACTGGTTCTTCTGAATATGTGGTCTGAGTGTCATCTTTATGCTGCTTTTGGGTTGACACCCAAGTGAATAGCCGTGCAATCAATATTATGGAATGAGAGGAGCAAATGTTCGTGTTTAGCCTTAAGAAGTAAATCATTGTACTTCTAGCACCAGCTGCCTGATACAAAGTAGTCATGTAGCTTAGGTAAAAAAACTGTAAAGATCTTAGCAGAATAGTGTCATAGTTGATCAGGAAGCAGATCAAAGCAGTTGTTTTCATATGTTGACCTTCTCTATATTAGAGCTAATGCAGCGACAGTGTGTGAGTTATCCGAAAGATGACTTAGAAATAATTGGTTCACAACATGTGACCAGTGTTCCAGTACTCCTAACATTGTGCAAGCATTCTGTTTTAGTATAGCTTCTGTCAGACTTATACTTTACAGAGCCTTTCACTTGGTGATCTGTCACTCTGAAATGCAAATTACTGTAATATCTCAGAACCCTCCAAAAACGGTTACCAGTGAATGGATAGAGGGAGACGACAAAATGGACACACTCATATGGGAAATCTGCAGTAGAATTTGAGAACAGAATTCCTTTCCTCTTATTCTTGGGTACCTTCATCTGTTGTTTTCCTTCCTGCAGCAGTCAGCAAATGTGTGCACATGAACACAGGCGGGTTTCATACCAGAACTTGATTTTTTTTTTTTTTTCTTTCCTCAACAAGAATGACTGAATTAAAACACAGTGCTATTGATGGAATAGGTTACCCTCAAATAACTTTTTTTTTTTTTTTAAAGTGAAAAAAATCAACTTAACTGTGTGAATTGAGTGATGTGGTCACTGGATCTTATGAAGTACACAGACGTTATAAAACAGTCATCTTGCATAAAAAACAGTGAACTAAAAGATCATATGGTCTATCCAGAGAATGTACCAGCTGTGCATTAATTTATTACAACAGCCAGGTCGGAAAAGAGTCATCATCTCTCTTGAAAAGGATGTAAAGAAGTTAACTGAACCAAAAGAAAAAACCAACAAGTTAGTTTCTCTTACATTTTTTCCCAGTTGGAGGGCACTTGAAAGAAGTCATCTGGAAAAAGGCAATTAAAAAATAAAAATGCTGTTGTAGGCTTTATGCACCGTGAATAGAAAACCAAGCTAAGTAAATAACAACCTAAGGAAGTGGTGTTCCCATGAGGTTAGGGAATGGGGGTTAGCTAGGTGGGCATAGATGTCATGTTCTTCTGCTAAATTGAAATGCTTCCTTTTTGCTTTATTCTTCTGCAGGTCAGTGCTGACTGTTGCTTGTGAACAAACTGAAGTCCTTCTTTTTGATCCGATATCTTCAAAGCACATAAAAACTCTCTCTGAAGCTCATGAAGACTGTGTAAATAATATCAGGTAAGCTATAAGGGAATAAAAGGCCTAATTTTTCCTTATGATAGTGTTTGGTGTTTTTTTTTTTTTATGATAGTATATTAAATTTTATATCTGCACTTTTTGGGGGAGGGGAGTGGGTTTGTGCAGCCATTTGGCTGCAATTTGCTTTGTGCCATCTTCCTTCTCCTCCACAACTGGCAGTGGGGAGGCCTGCAAGGGGAATAAGAAGGACTCTGATGGTGGTAGTGGTATATAATGCAGCCAGACGTTCCTTTTGATGGAGGAGCTGCAGTTTATGGGAGAGGAAGACTATTCAAGGTGTTATCAGCTGTTTTAACTAGTCTTCAGAACGCCCTGAATGAACATAGTAAATCAGAATGCAACTGTATGGTTTACATTTAAAGTGTTAGTCAAGACTGTAGAAAGGTCAGACATCTATATGAATTTGGCTGATATTTTGAATGAGTTTTAATACAAAACTGGAATATAAGGAGTAACATGTTGTAAGGGTTCTGACTGAGCTCTGATTTCAGAGATAAGGTTGCAGCCTTCACTGGGCAGATCATCCCACGCCTCCTTTGGCTCTTGATATTTGGCCAGCAGCAGTGGAAATGCTGGATTGTGAGAGTAATTGCCATAGACACATAGACATTTCCAGACAAAGATTTGGTGGCTGAAATGCAGGTATTAAATTGAAGAGCCAGGAAAGTGAAATGTCTTCTGCATTTCAGCTTAAGCCTTTATGGTTTAAATCCTTTTGCCTGTTCTGAGGATGAAGAGGGTGACTGGCAAACACAGGAACCTAAATCATCGATATTTTTGTCGTGTGATGTTTTTCCTTTTTATTTGTGCTATTTCTACTTATTCTGGGTCTCAGGATGGATTTTCACATTCAAACTTGAAACCCCTTTTTTTAACCTTGTGGGTAGTATTGCAGCCTCTTTTCACTGAGCTTCTCCAAGCTTCATCTGGATGAAAGCATCTAATCAGTCAATTCTAGACTATCTGTCTTTAAATCACTGTCATGTGCAGTGAGGTTGCTGACAGCTGTCAGTTTTGCACTTCTGCTTGGCAAAGAGCTGTACAGAAGCCTTCTGAGCATTTCCCCCTAAAGGACCTGAATAAAACGTGGGGTATTAATGTTCTCCTGAGTTCTTGAGATAAATTGATGCTTTTCACAAACTACCTGTCCTTTTTAGAAGAAGAGACTGAAGTTTTACATCAGTTAGATGCCTTTCCAGAAAGGCTAATGTGAATGTTGGGGCTAGCTGACACAAATAGAGGACGGGAGAGTGAGAACTGCTCTTCTGCTGAGAAATCTCAGGTTTTTGGATGTTATGTCAGTGGTTCTCATTTAAATGTGCTTAGTTTACAGATAAAGCTAGCTGACAAATAAAGCCATGCTGTCAAGATACCTTGAAGTCAAAGGCAAGCTAGTTTTTTTTATTATTATTATTTTTATACATCCCTAATTCAATATCTGATCCTTGGACTCAAACTACTGCCGGCCAGAGTGGTGTATATATATTGAGTTTTGGCTAAAGGCTGGAGATTATCAGCATAAACAATTACTGATTGTATTAAGTATTTAATCTTATGATTGTGGCAATCTAACTAGTACAAGCCATGGTCTTTTCCATTTTCTCATCTTCCAAATCTCCTTATGTGACATTAGTGTACCTGTCATCACTGTTATGTAAGCAGGTATATGGAGTGGTATGCAGAGACATTCACTGCCGCATTAAAGCGTAGCGTAGAACTGACTGTAGAACTGCAAGACTGTAACTGTGTTGTGAAATACAGAGCTATGTGTATGCTCTGCTTGAAGTCATTTGAATTGAACAGAATTTCATGGACTTCCTCTTCAAGTGCACATCTCTAGTGAAGGAGTCCACTGCTTAATAACTCTTAAGAACATACTCTGCCACTTTTCAGTTGTTACATCCTAATACACTGAGATTTGCAAAGATGATCTGGAAGTCCCATGCTAGACAGTTCTCTGTGTTTGCACTTTGATGTATATATCTGGTTTTGTGTATTTGAAGAGCCCAACTTTAGGTGCCTGCATCAGAATTCAAACACAAAATGTAGGGTGCGGAAGGGCAGGGCAAAAAAGTGGGAGCAAACCCCTTGCTTTACGATGGAGATCGAGACTGTTCCGGGTGCTATAAAAATTCTTGGATGCAGTAAGTTCAAGTGGCACCTTCTTTGGGCTCTGTAGCTGCAGTGAACAGCGTTCCTAGGGTTTTGTGAAGCTGGAGGGGCCCTGAAGCAGAGGACAGGCAGACAAAGATTTAAATTTGTTTGAGGTTCTAGGGAAATATGCACACAATGGCTGTTTTCAGACTTTAATCTAGTAAACATTTGCAAGAAGGCAATGTAGTGTAAAACAAGTGGATATTTAAGTGAGTAATGTATAGACCAAGCTATTTGCTGGATTAACTTTCTGTCAAAAAAGCACCATTGTATGTCCTATGTAAGAAGCATGGTACTGGCTTTTCGGGGTATTCTGTACAGGAGTGCAGTTTGTCTCAGGTATCTGTGCAAAGCTGTGGTCAGATCATAGAATCAGAATAAAAGAAAAGTGTAAGTTCAGAGGGACCTGGGAGATCATCTATTCCAACCTTCTGTTAAAACCAGGGCCTTACGTTAGCTTATCCAGGGCCCTGTCAAGTGAAGTCTTGCAATATTTCCAGCAAGATTCCACCAATTCTCTGTGCAGATATCCATAAACTGGATAAGGCAGGACACTTCTGAAAGCAGGTTTTGTTAATCAACTTATGTCACAAGCTTTGGGACAAATGCTGTGTTCTACCTATTGTAACAGGGTCAAGATCTGGTAAGATCTTTCTCTGTTTGCTTTTCTAACTGACAAAATCAAGTGCTAAGTAATAACGTGTGGTGCAAAACCGAGGCAGACCCTTTCAAACTGAAAAGTTCAGGAGTTAACTAAAGGAAGCTTGGACACGCGCTGTGTTGGCTGAGCTGGTGGGATGTGTGCTCTGTGGAGCAGCAAGGTTTAAAAACAGTAGGGGACTTCCAATGGGAGTAACAAAATCAACCTTTTCAAAAAAGATCTAATTGGAATGAAGGGAGCTTCTGTCTGTGGTGGGAAAAGGAGGAAGATTTAAAGAAGGGTATAGGAAGAATGAGGGTGGCTATGTGGATAGAAATGAAGATAGCTTTAAAAAGTATAGTTTTAATTTATCAAGAGCCAGTAGGATCTTGTTTAGACTAAAACGAAAGTTAGGATTGCTGTGTTTTTCGCTGCCTATCCAGAGTACCAAAAGGGATCTGGCAAAAATGGAATACACTAGAGATAAAACTTAGGTGTAGTCTAGGATATCAGAGCTCTATTGCAGGGATGGCTGAACCGGTCAGTGGGAATATCTCATTCAGACTTGGTAAATTTAATTAAAAGTGAATACAGTGAGGCTGGGCAGCTGCTTTCGTTACCACAGGGATTCTGTGTGAGCATGTATTCCGTGTTGGTGGTTGTCCAATCTTTAAATTATTTACTTAAAAAGAAAAAGAAATCCCCTGCTCTGCTTCTGTAGGACTGCTTGTTCATTCCTAGAAATGCTGGGATATGAAGTGGTGGCATAGTTTGTTTTTTTACAGTTCTGCTAAAAAACAGTTCTCCCATAAATTAATCTCTTTGGTCATTCTGTGTTTTTTTTCTGAGTTAAATCCAAGTTTCTAAACACTTAAATTAGAAAAGGTACTTAGCAGCCATAGCTGTATTTCTGTCCAATTTGCAGGTTTCTAGATAATCGACTGTTTGCAACGTGTTCTGATGACACTACAATAGCACTTTGGGATCTGAGAAAGCTAAATACAAAAGTGTGCACTTTACATGGTCACACCAGCTGGGTTAAGAACATCGAGTATGATACGAATACAAGACTACTAGTAACATCAGGGTTTGATGGAAATGTGATCATCTGGGACACAAACAGGTATGTGTGTATATGCGTGCTGTTACATTTCTAGAACAGGCAAAGATAGGATTCTTTTACATAAGATGGAAACGCTATTCATTGAAGGATGTCATAATGCATTTTTAAATACTGTGATTAGTTCATAGGCCTTGTAAAGAGCTTACATCACCTTGATATAGTAATTGTTTAGAAGGTAGAAAGAGAAGGGGATTTTATTTGCTGAGACTCCAGAATTCAGTTCTTCCTTTCTGAAAATGTTCTGTCTTCATTGTCCTGGCGGTATGAAAATGTGACTGCTGACCTGTCATTAAAATCTGATTCAAGTAGGATAGAAAGTAGTGCATAAAAGGAGTTTTGGGGTGGACAAGGATGCTCAGCACATCTTGAACTGTTCTAGATGTTATTAGGGATTAGAGTGGGAGTTCATTGCAGCTATTTCTTTTTTTTTTTTTTTT